CCAGATCGAAGCACTTAAATATGGAATGACCTGAGATGATATCATTTTAGAGGGCGATTTTTCCTTTAATTGCAAGATCATATATCAGCACATAAAATGTGCAAGGAGTCAAGTTGAATTGCTTCAGATGGGAGTGGCAACAATTTCTTATCACTGTTGTCTCTGTGAGTGTGGGACAGCTCGTCTACTTTAGTCCTGTGGAGCCACATCCATTGGTGCAGATAGCGCCCTCTTTACGTGTCCTTATGAATTACACTAAAATTTTAATTTTTGTCTTTAGCCTTCGCCACAAAACCCATCAGGACCTAATCGAAGGCAAAAGCCCAGCTTTGTGCCCAATGACGTGAGCACTTGTTTTTTTTCTTGCTCATTATGCTGATTTTCGGGGTTTGAATGGATACAAAACTGCTACAATATCTAACATAGACTTGTTGTGGATCAGAGTCTGACTCTTTTTGAATGTAATTCTGGTGGCGGCTTGGTCCTTTTTGCTGTTAAGGGAACTTTCTCCCCCCTAAAACTCGTTGGTAGGGTAAGGGGAAGTGACAAGCACGATTGCCAAGATCTGGGTTGACATTTATTCACGATCGAGAATGTGCCATCCTACTTTTAATTGACTTATTGCTGCTTTCTTTTCCCTCTGAAACTTTTTTGTTGCAAATACCAACCTAGTTTCACTATCCCGTAGGAACAAGTCTCTCTGTAGGCAGTTTTCAGTCTTTCTCCCTTTTTAGGAGACACCACTCTGTCCAAAATGCCAAGTTTGGCTGCCAGACAGGGGCGCTTTGGAGATACATCTCGATTCTTGCTTGCAATGAGTTAACACCAGCTACTCCACGCGTCATATTTCGCCTTGTCTCAGATCAAACCGACTACAGCTTTCCCTTTAGTCTGTCATTGCATCTATTTTTGCATCTTTCATGTTGTCATTGACCTTCCCATTATTGTTGTTGACATTATTAACGGTTCATTTGTTTCTAATCGCAAATAGTGGAACTATTGTTCCACACTTTTAAGAAGTTTTACTAGTGGGTTTGGTGGATTTTTGTATTTCCAGATTGTCAATCGAGGAATGTGGGACAGGCACAGTTTGGTTCGTAAGATGACTGTTGGTGGAGCCTGTCATATATCTTGTGGAAGTGATGAGCCTCAGTGGCGTGCATCCACTTCCACTGTGTGGTTTTGGCTGCGAATGAACGAAACCCAAGTTATTGTAGAAGGTAGGAATGATAGAACCTGGCAGTGAGTCACTCGTGCTGGAATGCTTCCATTCATGCGGACTGACGGCGTAGAGATGGCTGATATGTTTTACACTTAGCTATTAAGTTTGACAACGTCACAGGTCGGGGAAATACGTGTTAGCTGAGCGTGCAAGTGTACCTCAAGGAGGTTGGTGAAGTTTATCTGATTGAGAGGTTCGAATTTCATAACTTTGGTGCGGGATTTACAACTCGACCGCACTGAGTTCAGTAAGTGCTTGATGATCGCAGAGGCTTGGCTTATCAATTGCTAGATACAGATCAAGTGTAGCTGAGACATGGGTCTACCCAGTGATTAAATAATGGAAACACAAACCCGAAACACTTAACTATAGGAGACTGATTCGGTAGAATAGACATTTGACGCCAAATTTGTGCCTGAAAATAAGCTGGTTTCAGCAATCACAGGACGTTGGTCGCACGAAGCATGTTAATATAAACTAACCAGAAATCTAATTGCGTTAACTTTTTGTATCAAAACGGAGGTGATTCCCATTGCGCTCAGCACAACATTCTGCTCTTCCGGTGAAGCATTCAACTTGCTTCAACTCACAGACTCCAGAGTCTCAAATTTCTGGTAGCATTGACACACATGATGAACATGAATGTCAGATGATTAGGTAGGTACAAAGATTTGTCATATATAAGCAATTCTACACGGATAACAATAAAGTGAGCAGCTCCCAGACTTCCTCGACGATGAAGGCTAAGCGCACGGATAGAAGAGGTGGGGACCACTAGCATGGTTCTGAGAACAGTTCAATCTGGGAAGAAGCAGTGATACGTTGCCTACTCGATCACATGTGTTACTAGCGCTCACTCAGATATTCCTCTTGCCCTAGTAACTGCATGAACTGGCGTTCGGGTCAAACCAAAGCCCAACCTCTTTCCTTTTCCTTAAAACACAATTATTTAATCCTCCTTAATGCCCTTGTCTACCCAATAGGGAGTTTTGGGAAGTTACAATAACGA